TGCTGCTGCAACACCGGAATTTCCCCATTGTGGGACAAATAAAGGAATATCTTATCTTATCATACAGCGCAGTGTAAAGGAGCCTGTCAGTCTGTGTGTCTGAAACAAAATAAAGCTAAGGTCTCCCATGGTAACAGGAAACTGTAAGGGAGGAGTTATGGTTACTTTCAGGACAGTTGTTCAGCTGTCAGTGGAGACCAGGTACCTATTTACCAGGTAGCTCGGTTCGGTTTCCTTCCGAAATGCTAGGCTCCTTTGTTGGTCCTACGACCATCTGATGATATGACGGTGTCCTATTCCTTTACAAACACAAACACTCACCCCAAAACTGACATGCCTAAAACAAAATGTCTACCGGTCTTGAAATGTTGGTCATTTCTGACAGGAAACATTGGATTTTACGATCAAATAAATCTGATTTAGCAATTTTGGTTTTATTTTGCTGTTTGGATTCACCACAAAATAAGCAGTAGTTGTCCCCTTAACAAAAGCAATATAGATCATAAACCCGCCTCCATATTAGCAGATGGGACATGGTCCAAAATAAAAAGCCCAGGACACGTCAGATACGTTTTTCCCAAATATGGGTTCTGTCATTTTACATTCTCATCACATTGATGTATGTTCAACATACATGAATGCATGGGCTCAAAAAAGTATTTACGTGCATTGTATCATGCTAGTGGTTTGCCCTCAACAGCAAGCTTTTTTCACAGCAGATTTCCAACAGTCCATCTTAATGAACCCACTGCCTTTCCTCTGGGTGCCACTTTCCAATTAGTTCTCTTCTAGGGGGACAACTTGAACCTTTGGCATAAAATTAAGCTAAAATGATAACTATACACTTGAGTCATACTGCTCCTCATTTTCAAGACTGTATTCCTGGAGAACAGCAGCTTTCTCCTTCCATTCTTTTTAAACCCCATGAAAAAATTATCTGTGTCGTGCCTTGTGGTTTAGGAGTTAAATGTTCAATATATTATTTCTGTGTGGTGATTAAAACCGGCAAATCACTAAATAAAGGACGTGCTGGAGTTGCTGCAAGTCGACTTGCTGCTAAGATCCAGACGCCAGATGACTAAAATTCTTCCTCTGTGTTTTTTGTCTTCAGGGTTGGTTCAGCCCCGGTCAGGTGTTTGTCCTGGATGAGTACTGTGCTCGATATGGCGTTCGAGGCTGCCACCGTCACCTGAGCTACCTGAAGGATCTGATGGATTATTCAGAGAACAACGCGTTGGTCGACCCTACACTGCTGCACTACAGCTACGCCTTCTGCGCCTCCCATGTCCATGGAAACAGGTACACCAGCCAACATTACTCACAGGGGAGCTTATGATAAAAAATAGCCATGGTGTAGGTTAAAGTTCCTGTCCACCACTGCAGAGACCAAGAGGTATGATTCCCAGTAGCATGGCATGATTGGGTATTTTAGTGGTTGGGAACCCAGAGATGGAGCTTGTCTTTATCACTCACTGTGTTGACTAGAAAATAATACTAGTCAGAACATCTGTCTCCCTTTATTTTATCCCTCCTCTATTTGAGTAGTGTAGTTTTGCTAAAAAAAACAAAATTAAAAACCATTTAAGTCCCATTGGGCACTTTAACTTCCTTCACCATCTTCAGTGTTGACCTCACCATGTAGGCAATTCATTCAACAATCACTCCTTTCTTACCATCCTATCACACCAAACTGCTTGTATAATCATAACTGATAATCATGGTATTAAACTTTAAACTGACTCCTCACCGCATTGTTTCAACAGGAATGACATCATATTAAGCAATGATGAAGTGGACCTTTGAATAAACAACCTATGAAACCCAAACGATATACCTTATAGTAGAGATTTTCAGAACAGAGAGTAACATTCTCTTTCTTTTACTTAGTCATCACAAATGAACAATATGTGTAATTAATTTATGTATAAAGGAACAACTGTAGAACAAATTCTGTGGACAGACTGTTATTTGACCCTTTTCATTATTTTGTACATCTTCACAGAGCACAGATGCTCTTTTTTTATCCACACAGAGTGTCCAGTCTTCCATACACTTACAGACTCCATTTGTGGCACATAATCATGATGTCTGGACTTCAGAGTGCTGTCCAAAACCACGTTTTAGCATGTTGAAGCAAGGGGCCATAAGTGCACTTTCTGCACACTTTCAGAAAGTCAATTCTGGGTGCAGATTTCACCAAGATTTTATGACAAAATGGGTGTGATGTTGTAGTTGTGATAATAATAAAACATACCAATAAGTTAGATTATAATTTCATAGCATCTTTTTATGTATATATCCATTTATTATATACATAAAAATGTCATAACTCTCTTTGTAGTTGATTATTACTCAGAGGTTCAAGATCTTGGCATTAAATGTATTCATGGCAACTATTGAGGAGTCCTATCTTAAGTGTTTTTATCCCTCTTGACCAGATGACACTTCATGCCACATCCATTGTAAGTAAACATCTATAAATCTTCTTTGATATAATAAAAGAAAAGAATACACTCCTTATATTGTCTGAGAATCGCAACGTCTTCAAGTTTTGTTCAGCATCAAATTAATCCAGTGACAGTTGTCTGTTATTTATGGACGTGATTCGGCACGCTTTTAATGGTGCCAAACAGACTAAATAAGACAGGGCTCAAGTTGTTGGAATGCGATAATGGGGTTGATGTGGGGGGCACAGTTATTTAAATTCTGTCTTGGACTGGAAGTTACTACTTTGTTGTTATGGAACCATTGTCATCATAGTTACATTTAAAACCATTTCATTATGGTTTGAGAATGGTTGGGGTCATGGTAGTCAACATTGACAGCTGGAAATGGATAACGGGCATTGAGCATTTCCCATGTTAAAAAATGACAACCCAACCATTCACCCAGACTCCCTCTCCCTCTCTTTGCAGACTTTGTGGCTCTTTAGTAACATCACACGTTTTCGTCCTTTGCTCCCCATGGAAAAGTCATCATTTCTACAGCCACTCGAGGGCTTTGTCAGTTGAATATAAGCAAATGTTGGTTTTTTTGGCATTTGCTGAGACGACTGTTGCTCTCATTTTTTCGGGGAGAAGAGTCTTTTAAGGACAGCTCAGCTTTGGTCACCTTCAGGCCTCCACTGATCTGCCCAGATATGAGCAGCAGCAGTGTCTTTTAGCCACTTGTTGGCATCAGCGTCAGTCCAGCAGTTCAGTTCTCCACTTCACTCCCAGCAGCCCCTGCTTGACTCCCTGGCTGGTAATTACTGATATCTGTGCTTTCTGTCTTTGTCGACTCATTTAGTCAATTAGAAAGCATAATGATTAGCTTCTCCAGCAAATCGGCAGATATAAATTGGGGGGGGTTACTGAAATTGGCTTTTTGTCAGTTGGACCTCTAATTTGAATAATTGATGCCCATTCAGGGCTTCTGGAGCTGCGTGAGTGGGTGTGGATGGGAAAAAGAGGTTTTGGATGGCTGGCAGGCTTGGAGGTGGAAAAAAAACAAACTTAATTACAGAACTCAAGTTTTCCCTGGAGGGCTGCTCGGAGAGACAAAACTACGTCAGGAGGCACACAGGACAAAGAGAGAAGCTACAGAATGATCAACAGAAGAGTACTTGACTAATACTTCAAGGCGATATATTCAGAGTATCAGACTGTGCTTTTCTTAAGAAAACTCCATTTTGATTGACAGAAACATGTTGGACCTTGATTGAAGATGTAAATATTGTTTTTTGATATGTGAAAGTTTCCCATGGCTGATGTTAGAATGTTGTTTTTTTTTTCAAGGTTTGTTGGACAGATTTTGTGGTCTTAAATCAGTTTAGAAATTTGGTCATTGTCAGTTTTTATAATTCACAATATTAAAACGGCCTTTAAAGGGAATGCTTTTACATCACTTATTTATATGTTTCCGAGTAAAGTCTTGTTGAACAGCCTGTTCTTTAGCAGACTTGATTTACAGCAGTTTAAAAACACATTTACATTTATTTCTATGCTTCACTGGTTTTAGTGACTGTATCTGTATTTCCTTAATAGTGAATATTAGCAGAAGACTGTAGCAATTCCTTTCCTGTTTTACAGACTTGGTCAAGATGTGACAGTAACAGACTACGACTATTTTAAACTAACAAATGAAATCCATCCATCCATTTTCTGTGGCTTGTTCGGGATTGGGTCATTGTAGCAGCAATCAAAGTGCACCTCAACTGGCTCCTTTCGAAGCAAAAGAGCAGTAGCTCTCTCCAGACTTCTGAGCTCCTCCTTAGCTCTTCACCTTATCTCTAGGCGTGAAACCAGCCACCCTGCAGAGAATTGCAGACGCTTGTATCTACAACCTCATTCTTTCGGTCTCTACCGAAAGCTCATCACCATAGTTTAGGCTTGAAACGTAGAGAAAATGACAATTCAAAAACGTTGCCTTCCGGCCAGCTCCAGATTCCCCACAACAGTCCAGTATGAAGCCTGCTTTACTGCTAATGCTGCATCAATCCACCGGTCGATCTCACACTCCATTTTGCCCTCACTTGTGAACAAGACCACAAGATACTTGAACTCACTTGGGGCAGCAGCTCAATCCCAGCCCAGAGAGAGCAGTCCTCCCTTTTCTGGCAGAGGACCATGGCCTCAGACTTGGAGGTGCTGACTCTCTTCCTCACTTCTTTCCATTTGACTACAAACCGTGCTGAATGTCACACCTGAAGAAGCCAACAGAACCATGTCATCTGGCATAGTAAAAAAACAAGCCTACCCAAAACCAAGGTCTCCTTACCCCCGGGGACTGCGACAATTGGAGTATTCCTATCCATTGAAATAGTATAATGAAACCAAGAAGCACTGGCGATTTGAGCAATCTATTTTTTGTTGAACACACACAATATCACCCCCCAAACCGGTAAAGTCCAATAAAACACAAAGTTCAAATAACCTACTCAACTTCTTGACACAAAACACCCAACCCATATACCTATAAAATGTATAGGGTAAATATGTACTACCAACCAACATAAACCTGAATAAATAACATATCTTTAATTACTGGTAATTCAAAAACAGAACACGCGGTTCCTTCTAAACCAATTGCTCCCCTCCGGAGTTAACTAATTCTGGGCATGAGAACAACTTCCAAAAATGGATAAGTGTGAATGTGACACCTCATAACACTGAGCAGGCAGCAAACTTGAAAGCTAGTAGGAACCATGATTCTCTCAACCTCACCTAGAACAAGGTCATCTGCTCCGAAGGCATAGAAAGAGGACGAGTGCGTTTGAACTGGATCAGCGAGTAACAGGAGACCTTCACCAGGACCTGTGGAGAAGAGGGGGGGTCAGCTCAAGCACACTTCCAATCACTGATACCACGACTGATCTTCTCCTCCCTGCGAGACATACCCTACACCCTTACCATGACACGGAATGTAGCACCAAGGCTATTTCACCCTCCCACCAAACCCTTCACACAACAACCCAACAACTGTAACTCCAGAGAGGGTGGATGGGAGAGAGGAACGTTGAAATCCACCCATGATCGAGCACTCCCACCACTCAATGTATCCTTTCCACAACCCACCTATCTTACCACGGTACAAAGTGGCGTCCAAACCCGGTACCCGCAATCGGACGCTAGACCCGACGATAGCGCACTCCATGACGACTCTATGTGAACTGCCAACATAGTACCAAATAAGCCATCAACGCACGAAGTCCATCAGGGATATCCCGCCGGCGTGATCCCTGCTACTTATCGTAACTTACCACTGTGAGCTCAACATGAAGTGTGGCCTAACACCACAAAACCTGACGAGTTCTACAGACCGAACCCACTTCCCCACTAAAAACTCTCCTCAGACCCCACTCCCCCCTCAGAGCACCAAGAACGGCACGGACAGCAGCCTCGACCTAACACAAAAGTGCAATCGCTTATTTAGCAAAGCAACAACACTAATGCGTCTGACCCGACAAAGCTGTCGGCATCGCCTCCCAACTCCTGCCGTGTGAGCCCAAGCATGAGAACACGCACATCTGACTGGATTTAATGGCACAGTAAGGACATCTATCCAAAAAAGAACACCACACACAACTGTGACCTGATGTATTATAATGACGCTTGACAGCAATCATTTGCGTTCTGGAAACTTTCCGGCCAACACGTATCACAT